TTTTTTCCTTTCATTTTTCGAATCGCTGTATTAATTTTCTGACTATCAAATAGAGGTAAAATTATGCTATTGATGGCACCTACTGCGTAATAGTCGTTAGTAGTTTTTTTAAGTTAGTTTCTCAATTTGCGGTTGCATTTCAGCTTGCTGTGAGTGTCACGTTATGGTTACCGAATTCTTGAGTCTTAGTCACGCTGGCTTAGAAATGCATGGGTGCGAACCAAAATCTGCTCGTATCTATACGCGTACTTCTTGGCCTATGAGAAAATGCGTCAGCCCCAATATGTGTTGAGCGTCAGACTGGGAGCAAGCACAAACCAAGATTCATAGTACACGAGGTAGGGTGTTATAATCGGCAGTATAAAATTCTTAATCCACTTCGGATCTTATTTAGCAAAATGCAAACACAACCAGCATGCCAAAACACAGAGTGTAGGCCCTTCCACGAGTTCAAGATGACTTTCCACGGTTTGTGCATGACATTTTATCGATTTTTCGTTTTTACTTAATTCGATGTCTAACGCTATGTGCCACCTGTGTACATGCTCATTTCTCCATATAACCGTACATCGTGAACTGTCAGAGCGTTTTTGCTTGCGCCACCCGTACATGTGTAGTGAGCCTGCGGCTGACGTCTTTTAACGTCAGAACATGATACAACAGCATTTTCACGATATTCACTGAGCCCAGTATCCATCATATATCAGGAGTGATAATAGGGAATTCCTCCATTATCTACGCCTGAACAACATCAACCCTGCTACAGCTGTACTACTACGCTGATCCAATTAAGTATCCACACAGGGCCTAAATAAGTTCTCAGCACTTTTCAACGCACCTTACATAAGGCGCGCGTTTGTTGACAGTGACGTCAGGCAATGGCGGGTTCGCGCCATTTGCATGGAATTGCGTTGGTCACCTCGTAATTTCTCAGAATTTCTCAAGCCCCATTTGCACACAGGCGGTCACTCATTGTGAAAAATAGAAAACCCTCATTTCTCCGTTTCGATTTCTGACATAGTAGCCGATGTACTAAATGGATATTTCTCTGTGATTAAACTCGGATTAATTTAATTTTACACTCGTTTTAATGGTAACATATTGTGTAAAGAAGCGCGTCAGGGATTGTTATTAAATGCCGTACTTTATTAGTTATGCCTCTTTATTCGCTAAAATTGTCTATTTTAACACAACTTGATTTTTAAGCAGTTTTTTCGAGTATTCTCGGTAAATATGAAAATTAAAGAAAAATCCTGATGCGCTATTTTGGTCCATATTGCGCTTAACATGTGGCAAAAATGTTGTATCCTCATTCTTTCTGGTAGTTGAGAAATATCCAAAATACCAATTTGACATAAAAATTCAAAATTTGTGTTGTAACATAATTAGCTGCTGGAAATTTCATGAAATTTTTTGGCTTGAGCATAGAAATATATCTCCTCTATAAATAAAACAAGTGATTGATTTGATTCATTCGCCAATAAACGTTTAATCTTCACTAGAGCAATACCCGTGCACAACGTGGAGATCGAGTATCTTTAACTTATTAAGTCACAAAGCTTGTGTTGAAAATCTCTAGAGGGGGTAGATTCATCAACGCGCGTACGCAAAATATGTTTTGTAAATCTTGTATACGCAATCGACGTTGGTTAGTTGCGATTCATCAACGCAGCTATTTAGTAAATTTTCGTAAGATTTCGCGTACGTAAGCGAGGCCGTTTTAGTTGCGATTCATCAAGCTAAAATTTACGTAAACCTTTGCGTAACTTTACACGAGCTGAAGAGGTGCCCTAAACTACTCGAAATTTCCGCAAGTGTTTCCAGCATGCCGTAGCATGCATTATTTTATGGAAGTGTCTAAACAACCGGATCCGGTTTCGGTATCCTGAAAACTAAACAACTGGCTCTCTTCTCTGATTGGCTAATTTTGTCACTATTTTATTTTTTATTATTTTTGGCTAATTTTATTTTATTTTAGAATTAGGGATAGGGTTAGGATTATGGTTAGGTTTAGGGTTTGGGTTAGGGTTATGGTTAGGGTTAGGGTTAGGGTCTATATGCCTCACTTTCAAGTTGGTTTCAGTTGCTCAACGGTAGAGCTTTCGCTTCGTGATAGTAAATGTATAGTATCTGTGTTCGAACCCCATAAGATGTTTTTATTTTCCTCTGCTTTCTGTATTGCTTTGTATTTTATTTGTTTCTGCATTTATTTGTTCTGTAACTTTTGTTTATGTTCGGAATTAAATATATTTCTTTATGTTTTGCATTAAAAATTGTCCTATTATATATTTGTCCTGTTATATGTTCGGAAACTGACCAATTAGAGAAGAGAGCCGGTTGTTTAGTTTTCAGGCCTCCGAAACCGGGTCCGGTCAGTTAGACACTACCTTATTTTATTGAGAAAACATAAAATCACTACATAAATACAAATATATAAATAATTACCTTACGATAGACAGACAGGTGGTGCCTTTGATGCTTCTTTTGTTAAATTTTGGCATTGTTTTCGTTATAAGCGAGTTCGTAGTTAGCAGTGTACGTGCAGTCGTGCGCACGCACGCACGCATGCATGTGTACGTGTTGCTGCTTTCATCGAGTGTTGAACGCAATCATACAAACGAAATTGATGACTACTATCACATCCCAGAGCACTCCTGTAAACAGAGCTAGAGCAATGTTTACATACAAGAGAAGCATCAGTTTGGTTTCTGTGGTATTTGTCACACATGTGATTGGTTTCTGCTAGACACGGCCCGCAACAACCAGCAGCTACGATGGCGTAGTGGATTTACACTGGAATTCATCAACCTTTGCGTACGCAGGTGCTACGCTGCATTGATGAATTGCACCTACGAGCTTTGCGTACATACTTCGTAGAAACTTTGTGTACACAATAAACTTTACGCAATGTTGATGAATCTAACCCCAGGTCCATACAACGGTGCTGTATATTATTTCAATGTACTTATGCCGGTTAACATTGGAAAATGTCCATGCTTGTCTTTGTTTGGCATCTTACTTAGCTTATTATTATGAATTTGTGTCTATAATTTTTATAATATAGGACAATTTTGCAATGCTCGTTCCAATATCAATTCAATTCAAACACTTTATTTACACAAGTTTACACAAATTACATTTAGCAGAAAGGTATAACATGAAACAAAATAAATACAAGTGATGGAGGGCGAAATTACAATACAGTCTTCTAGTCAGCCACTCTCATAAATTGCAGAAAATTATTAATGATTAAGTCATTACATTAACCAAAAAATTATAATAATAGTTGAACTCTGTCATTGGAAACGTTTAAGGTTACATACAGTTATATAAGATTTTTTACAGTATATTCAACAAACAAACTTTTCAAATTCACTCAACAAATAAATTCTTCAAACAAAAAATTATCCTTGTTTAATAGACTTATTGAAACAGTGATTATTATCAAAAAGAAAAGCTTAGATACTTATAGTTATATAAACAGTTAGACATTTCAAATTCAAATTCAAATTCAATCCAAAATTAGATTTTATAAATTAATTAATATACAAACAACCATAGACAATATCGGAATGTTCTCAAGCATATCTAATAATACAAAACAACAAGCAAAGAATATTAATTATTGATCCTGGTCAACATATTTAGTTTTAAGAGATCTGACAAATTTGGAGAAGTGGGATGTCTTTATAGCTCATTTGATATAGTAGACCAAAGCTTAATTATCATCTTGGTACCGGTACTTCAATGATTTTTGACCCATGCAAGTAGCAAATCTAAGAAGAAAGTACATAGAGTTAACAGAATATCTATAGTCATATAACCATGTACATTCATGGATAATTCAAAATAATTGGAAAAAAGACTAGGTAATGTTTTATTAGAAAAACGATACATAAATTTTGCTAATTCAATTTTATAAATGTCATGAATTTTCAATAATTTTAGTTCATTATAAATTGGGGCACAGAGTCGAGTGCACTGGCGGAGTGTCGTCGATGGCCTATGCTCCTCGTGGGGCTAAATGGCCTAACTAAACTAACTAACTAAAAATAGGGGTGGCATACTCAATACGCTTAGCGAATTTAATACATTTAACTATTTTATTTAGTAATTCAACAAATTTATCAAAGCCAAACAAGTTCCGAGTGGCAGTGAGTTCTAGGTCAAATACTGCATCTGCATCTGGAAGTTTCAACAATTGGTCACATACTCTCAACTAACTAGCTGTGTAGTTGGGATACTAAGGTATCTTTCTCTTGACTAGTTTGCCTTAGAGTACTCAGGATTTTTACCGTGGGTGGGGAGGTTGAAAATGTATGTGAGGTTGTGGTTTTGACAGTTCATCATCCCCCTCCCCCCCCCCCAGAGCAAGGTTTTTTCATCTTTAGAAAATTTAATGTGCTGGTGGGTGCTTGAACTCCCAGCCTTCAAAGTGAAAGGTAGACATGTTACCTACTGGTCCACCATATCTCTATCTACTGTACCTCGCCCTGGCCCATCAAAAGAAACTCCAAATATGACTGGCTAAAATTACAAAGTGTTTTTTAGTTCTTGTTGCATGATAATTATAGTGACATCATGACATGAGGCCAAAACCATATCATTTACACCGGAATTGTGTAAGTTTACACGTGACAGGTACAGTGAAAAAAATAGACGGGGGCTCAGGGCGATTTAGCCCCTGAAATGCCAAAAAGAGCCCTGGAAATGACAAAAAGAGCCCCCGTAAATTTGCATAGAGTTCAATGCAAACCAAATTTTAGAGTGCTATTTTCATGCACGCGAGCTTGAAAAGTAGCCCCCGAAAAATACATTTTACATTTTTTCCCTGGACAGGTGTGTACTATGATTGTCAAATCCATATATGTGGTTTGGTTTTGATTTCATGCTTTTCTCTGTGTTGCATGTGTGATGGAATTAAATTGTGAATAGTGAGTTTAGCTGAGATGGTCTTAACTATGTGGAAATATTCTATCTCTATTTCTTTTTTGGTACAGCTAAGTGTCGAAGGATACAACTACAAGGCAATTGGAAATTCTACAAGTAAGAAAGATGCACAGACTAATGCAGCAAAAGATTTCCTAAGTTTCCTTGTACGAACGGGAGAGCTGCAACAATCTGAAGTACCGTCATTTGCAGTAAGTGCGAAATGGTGCAGTTTAGTGAACGTTGTATTGTTTTATAATTGAGTGAAGTAGCTTTGTATATTTCTTTGAATGAGTGAGTAGGATTGAAGTTGTCGGTCGAAAGTGGTATCTTCATCATGAATGGTCACAAATTTGTAATATCTATTAATTTCTACAATTAAATCACAACCTTTCATAAATGAATGTTGTATCAAATGCAGCTATAGCTAGGTAGAGTTCTTGTTTCAGCATCATGTTTACTTGGCTAGTTATTAATTTTCGTATGTGTGGAAGTGAATCAAAATTAACACACATCCATGCAGAGTCAAATACTCCCTGATTACCTCCGCGCAACGGAGTTGCAGGGGAGGTAATGTAATCGGTCGTGTGTGTGTGTGCGTGTGTGTGTGTGCGTGTGCGTGTGCGTGTGCGTGTGCATGTGCGTGTGTGTTGTGTGTGTGTCCAGCCCGCGCGGCGCGATCGATAGCGCGTCGAGTCAGCGAGCGGCGAGTCAGCAGCAGGCGAGTGAGTCAGCAGCAACCACCAGCGAGCGGCGAGTCAGCAGCCGCCACCAGCGAGCGGCGAGTCAGCAGCCGCCACCAATGAGCGGCGAGTCAGCAGCAGGCGAGTCAGTCAGCAGCAGCCAGCGGCGAGCGGCGAGCCAGCTCGTAACACACATGTTACATGCTCGCGGAGGTATGCACTCTCCGTGAGTGCCCTCTGTCTAGTTACCACTGAGCTCCCTGGTTTGACATATATATGTAGTAGTCTGTGTGACTCCATGAAAATTCTACCATATCAGTATGTGAAACCTGGTTGATGTAAGATTTCAGTTCAGTGTGATACGTCGGGAGATGCCCGACTGTATGTAGGCACGTGATCGTATAGATAGTAATGTTCTGAACCTTGCATTGTGTTATTGTTCTTTTAAACCCGTTGTTCCATTTCGTGTTTGCGGTGAGCTTGAAGGAAAAGCGATCACACAAATAATTTCACAAGTCTGAGATGAGCTTCCACAAGGATTTATTATTGCTCACGCCACGCGTGAGCAAGAGTCCGGAAATGTTGTCTAATACATGAATAGTCACTGTGCGTGCGTTTGGAAAACTGAAGAGCTCCCAAGGTCTGGTTATATATATGCCCGGCGAGGTGACGTCACATCAGGGGTCCCCAAGGCCACTGCAGGCCGAAAAGCGTCTCCTCGCCACTCGCCTGTAGCGCACTGCACAACGTTGCGTTCGTACGTCTCTACATCCGGTTTTGCGCGCTTATCTGTAGGTGTGGACGTTTATACATGTAAACATGTTGTTCTCACATTTACGCGGCCCTGGCTAGCATGACGGCTACGCACACAAAAATCACGTATGATTCTTATACAATAATTTTACTAATTACAAACTCTACGCGCCGCACTGTTACATATGTTCCAGAGTGCAGCCTTGTGGAATTATTATATTCTTTCAGATACACATTCTTGCATTATTGTAATATTTACTTTGAAACTTCCGAATGCAAACTCCATTATTTTGGTACAGACATCCTATCTTTGTGGGTAGAGATCAAGTCCTTTGGACATCTTTGATCAAAACTTAATATCTTCTGATGTGGTGTTGATGCAGGCAGTGTAATATAGACAGAAATACACAATATAGAGTTTGCTGAAAATAAGAATTATGGATGATGGTTTCAGCAAATACTACCACCACCACCATCGTTTGGCAATCAAGGACATGCAGGCTTTGCTACCTTACCTAGTGGCATGGCCCCACCTCCTCACATCGCTCTGGGGTTGGATGCAGATGGTACACAATCCGGTGGTATGTATGTCTAGATAACCCTGACACTAACTATGCCCTACTTAGTACTACTATTGTAGATGTTTGCATGTGAAGCATTTATAGATATAGCACTAGTAGACAAATGATTCAAGTGATGTAAATGTGAAACCCACCTAAAAACTGAGTAATAGAGACGTTTTTGCAAAGTATTTGTGAAAACATGTTTAATAAGTATGGGCTGTGATAACTGAACAGCGTCTGTCACTGTGGTTTAGACAACACTCAAGAGTTGATGCCGTACCAGAGGGGACCCCCGCAGGCATACCTTGATCAGCTGTCGGCAAAGAAGGTCGAAGACGTAAGTGTCTCATACTTATTTCACTTCATCGGGACTTTGATGCAATCCAAGACGTAATCGTTTCTGCCTTGCAATATATGTGTTTTTTGGGCACTTGTGAAATTGTTGCTTCCATTTGCGTAGTCCGAAGATCTGGATTTGAATGCTGGTATCCATGGCAATTGGACCATCGAGAATGCCAAGGGTCGTCTGCACACCTACCTGCAGCAGACTAAGCAGGCGGCAAACTACGTGTATAACGCGATCGGTCCTCACCACAACAGGTAGTCACATCTTGATTATTTATCAGACAAGTGTTTAGTTGACCATTCCTGGCAGGTGGTGGTTAAGTTGAAGTGACAGGTCTGTCAGTTGGATTCGATTAGGATACTATCAACTGGTACTATGTGTGTGTTTAGAAGTCTCGTGTGGCAGAAGAACTTCATCATTGTCGTATAATCGCACGGGTTCAACAAAGAAGAACCCGTGCGTTCTCTGTTGCCGTGCGTTGCGAGAACGGCCCAGAGATGGCGCCGCCCTCTGTGCAGCATGTCGCGAGTGGGCGGCGCCCTCAGAAACCAGCGCAACTCTCAGTGAAACACTGAATCTACAGATGCATAGATAAACGCATTTTCACATCATGTGGACCTTGAGTGGGCACTGGCGGTCATGGTATTCCTCTGGTAACCATCGATTGATCTCTTGACATTCATGCAGGACATAAAAAGATTGGGGTTAGGGAATTTATGTTGGGTATAACGTGGTGAAGAATTGTTTAGGCGGTGGGCTCAGTCAATGTCGATATATTATCCGGAGTACGACAACAGACATCTGCTTGTTAAGTTGCTCCTGATAATTATTTATTAGACAGTTTACAGCAAGGTGGATATTTATACAAGAAAAAGGGCTTTGAATATGTATATTTTCCATGAAGCTTTTTCGGGGCCCTGGAGGAATTGTAAACTAATCTTGTCACCTTAATTGAAAACAAACCTGTTAGAAGCTGTCGGGCAATTACAGTTATAATTTTTTTGTGATGGGTAAGGTTGTGAGTATCGGAGGAGTGAATACATGTTGCCTAAACGAGTGCCTGTTTTATGGGAGATCATGTGTGACACATTCATATCTCACTGGGAGTTGTGCTGGTTGTTGCAGAGAAAATGCTGCCCCACGAGACTTCTATCACAGTAGCGTGGAGCGGATGGCCTGTCGCCCCGCTACACGTGAGTATACGTTTCGAATACGGAACCGACTCTTTAATCCCTGCTCAAAAAATTGTGACAGTGAATATCTACTCGTGCATGTTCGTGACTTTCTTCATCATGGCCAGGTTGCGAGTTTAGTGGTTCGAAGTCAGGGTATCGGTCAAGGGAGGTGAATACCAGCTTGCACCATTTGCTTTCTGCCTCCTTGAATTGACCCAAAGAATTCTCATCTTACCCAGAGAAGTGGAGGGTAATAGTAAAATGGATGACTTGCACACAAGAAGTTAGCTTGTACTGGGCTGAGCAAATGGCAGTGTGCGTCCTAGGTGGTGAGAGTGTTGCTACCCTCAGCCGTGGTGCAGGAGTCGATGTAGTGGAATAGTATGAGATGATTCATGATTATGCTGTGTAATAAGTGACTGAATGTTGCAGGAGCTTCATCTGTGAGTTAAGCATGTACTTGAAGAAGAACAATAAGAGTAAGTAACAGCACTACCTTATCTAATGTCTATGTGATAACATGCTGTAACGAGCACAGTTAGTAACCGCACGAACGATTAACGTAAATTGCTTTCTATCGTAGACAAAAAAATCCAACACCCTGAGCAAATTTTCATGTAATAATGCAATTAATAATCCAAAAAAGTAATTGATGCAGGAACAGAAATAAAAAAGTATTCTTTTGGTTAAAAAAACGCCATTGAAATTAATGTCATTGTCTGCTCTCGGTGGTGCTGGGCTAACGTTTACTGATGACAGTGTTTAATTTTCGCAGACATTTGTGCGAGGGAGGCTGGATCGAGTAAGATCACAGCCTCAAAGTCATGTGCTTTGTCGCTCGTTCGCCAGATGTTTCACATGGGTGTCGTCGAACCCTACACTGGCACCACCAAGAAACTCGATGTACAACAGGTCAGTATAATAGATGATCAAGTTATTTGAGTTAATTAGTCCTCCTCATCTTGAGCAGGGCACATGTAACCATAGACCTGCCGGTTTTGTCTCTCACCAATGCCTGTTCATCACCATAAGAAAGCCCACCTTCTCTTTTACCACACCATTAGTCTGCCATCAGATTGTAGTTGGCAGGCCTTGTGCTAGTTTTCCTGGTGCTGTCCATCTAAGGCTAATTGCTACCATAGGTAATGGCTCCGTGGTCATCGTCAACACATGTCCAAGCATGCCTGATATGGCCCACTTTATTAAGTAATGTTGATCGCTGTCAGGTGATTGGACGTAGTGGTCGTATGGGGAAAAATGCTCAGTCTAAATGCGTTTGAAAAGTAATGACACAGAGAGTAGTAATTGCACAGTTGCATGTCATATTTTCAGACAGGCAATCAATCTGTTTAGTGTGTTACATCTATGGTCGTGTGCATTTGAAGAATTTTTAGCTCATCTGACATACATCTGACTGAGGTGATCGTGAAAAGGATTCAGGATGACAAATTTGGGGGTCAAAATGTGTAAATGGAGGGGGAATATTTCCCCCTTAACTTAAGGTATAGGAGGAAATACGGAATTGCGGCACAAATCTTAACGGCTCGACCTATGCTCTTAATATTCGGTGTATAGTGTGATGGGCAGGAAACCCACCAAATTGGAGGTCACATGTCAAAGGGCAGTGGGGGGAAAGGTCAGATATCAGACATTTTCTGCGGACATGGCCTAATGGACAGAGTGAAAAACTTTTTTGTTTAAGCGCTGACCTACCATTTTTATCACTTTATTGAAAGGACCATAAAATGTGCTTTCCATTGACATACGAAGAGTAAGTTTCTGATAACCTTTTGACCCTCAAGAGGAGGGTTAAACATGGATTCCTGAACTGCCTCAATGACGTCACAGTGTTGTCATATTCATGGCACATCCATAATCTAGAAACCCAATAAGCCTGGATAGCCGAACGCGTACAGCACAGGCATCACGGCTCAAAGGTCGTTGGATCGAATCCCCTTTAACTATTTTTTTCCAATTAACGCAAATATTTACATGATTTATTTACAACAATTTAATAACAACAAATAATTTTTACAACAATAATTTTTTTCTTTTTTAATAGGGTTAGGGTTAGGGTCACAATGCACCATAAAACAGGAGTTTCAGGCACGCGATTTGTATCAACCAATGGGATTTGGGAGGTATGCAGAATGCAGAAGGTTGCTGAAATGATGTGTACGCAACTGCGTATCTGCATATCTGCGCCTAACAAAGGTGTCACTATGCACGACTTAAATGTTTCATTTATAACCGTAGCAACAGACCTCAGATGAGCCCAGACGCTTTGAGACTCTTGTTGTAGAAGCGTGAGTTTAGCATGTCTAATTAACATGCATATATGTGTGCGTGCTTTGCCTCCCAGCTGGCTACGTTTGAGGTAGGTCTACCCCCAGAGCTGGAGGCTGAGATCGACACACTGCTAGAGGGCTACAACATCCAGCCAGTACCAGATGTAAGTACCTACTAATGCATGTACATCCAAACCAAGTGTTAATAGGCACGACTATAGCGTGGATATCTGGCTGTGGAGGATGCTTATAGTGTTACCCTCAAGTTGCTGTTTTACAGTGAAATCGCCTACATAAAATAGACACCTGTTTATAAAGGGCTTTACCATTATACAGGTTTGCATGTACTGTCTGTTCCACAGCTAGGTGCTGCAATAGTGGTTGTGAACCTGCACGCTTGGCATTGACATGGAAAATGTTGAGTTCCCCATGTCCTTACAAGTGCTGACATGCTGTAATTGTAATAATCCACTGTCATATTTGGTTTACCCACAGTTAGTTCTTTTAACAAACGACTATTTATTCTCTATTGATATCTAATCTCCTAATGAATTCTATGTTAGTGAACCATCTGCATACTGATGAGTTCTAAGCTTCCCAGGCCCTGCGGTTGTGCTGTGTTGTGTCGGTGTGTTGTTCGCTGGTAGTCTTGACAAATCCCTGTGTTGACAGATGAAGGGTGAGAGTGCAGAGCCGATCAACCTGAAGGTTAGCAACGTCGTGGAGGAGTTTGAACACTCGGAGGGACCGGCGTATGGTAATGTCGTCTCGTGGTCGCCGCCGCAACAGAACTGGAACCCGTGGAGCGGATGTAACATTGATGAGGGTCCAATGGCACACGTGAGTCTCTGCGCTGTGTCCGGGGATAGGGTGGGAGTGGTAGCATGGCTTAATGGGTAAGGTGGGTCAGTGATTTGATCTTTTTTCTATGATTCATTCTACTTTGTGTTTGTCTATTGCCCTTCATTGTTTATTATAATTAAATATCTAATGTAACAGTAGTCAGAATCAGATTTACTGAGATCAGATTACAGATCCTATTTACTGTATCAGATATGTTACATTGTATTTATATATTGAATATTGTGCCATCATCTATAATCCTCTATGCAGTCCCCTGCATCTATTTAACATACAATGTTCAACCAGAAAGCTCTAGACGGCCTTAAGTTGTGAATCACAATGATTAGCTAACTAGTTGGTTATTAAAAAAATTGTTCATTGCCTCAGACGTCAGATATATTGACTGCCACAGGGCTGCTGATGCCTGTGGGTATCAACACAGACATTTTAGCCCATGGAAGGCATACAGGAAGAGAAGGGGAACAGTCTTGTGTCACTGTCGTATCTATGACAGCTAGATATAAGTTTCTTCCCCGTACAGACATTGCTAGTGCTAGTAAGGTGTGGTAATAAAGCTGTAAGGTTTAGTAAGTAAAAAATTGGCAGCTTAGTAATGTTCAATAATTAATAGCGTTCATGGAATGTTGGGTTTTATATTGTATGTTTGACATTAATGGGATGATGGGCTTTTTATCTGCTTGTCAGATGGGTTTTACTTTCACTTTCAGTGAAAAGGATATATGAAAAGGGAAGTCTGATGGTAAACCCAAGGCAACATAATTCTTGCCCTAAAACATTTTCAATTCGACCCCTCGCCCTCGGTTACTGCTTGCGATGGCGGGTCTACCCATTGGTTGGTATGATGGAGCTTACTTGGTGACTGCTTGCATTGGTTACTGCAATGGAGCATATTTGCTGACTGCTTGCTGTTTAGGCATCCCTAGACGAGCTCTCAGGGCAGATGCGTAATGAGCTGCAACGGCAGCGTGACCATGATACGCACCTGCAGAGGATGATGGTGGAGCGAGAGAAGCTGCCTATATTCAAGGTGCACAAGAAGCTTCTGGACACCGTCCAAGCAAACAGCGTTGTCATCATCCGCGGCGCGACGGGCTGCGGCAAGACCACGCAGGTATGTGTGCGTGCGTGCGTGCGTGCGTGCGGTGCGTGCGTGCGTGCGTGCGTCGGGTGTGTGCGTGCGTGCGTGCGTGCGTGCGTGCGTGCGTGCGTGCGTGCGTGCGTGTGTTCAGCAGCGTGCGAGTGTGCATGTGACGTGCCACAGGCTACACCCACACCACGCAGGCTACACCACACAGGCCTATGTAACATTTAGTTAGCTAGTTTGTTAGCTAGTGATTGTTAGCCATGCAGGTATGTGTTTAGCAACATGACATTCAAGCAGCAGCAGGCATAATTTTACTGGCTACAGTAAAATCACACAGCTGTGTGCTCATGCGTAAGCAAAGCTTGGCTAGCCAGGTTGTTAGCTAGTGCTTAGCCTAGATTATGATTGTGCATGGTTATGGTTGTGTCTAAGCATTCACATGTGTGCATGTCCGTTAACATTTTGTGATGAAGAGTATACGTTAAAATACATAAGAATGTGGAAAAAAAATATAGTTCAATGCTGTTTGCATACAAGCGGTTGCAATACTATTGCTATCTAATATATATTTGAGTTCGTATGTATCTATGTATGTATCTTCCCTATAGGCGGCCAAACCGCCCAAGCGATCTGGATGCAAATTCTTCACAAGGCCATGCTCTTATAGACCGCGGGTAGTGTTCCTAGATGAAAAAACCTGTCAAACCGTCAATACGTCACCGAAAAATCGTGAAAAACCCCTCAATTCGTGAATCTTCACACAATGTCAGCACTCACTGTACAGTGCTGCGCACACCGGAAAAATCGATTCCCCTCACCTCATCCGCTTGCTGTATTGTGAAACCGAAATCCGAGCGCCGAGCTACAAACCGAGCACAGCCAGGACCAGTTCGAGGTTACGGCTGCATTGTTTATCAACAGGCTTTGAAATTGAGAAGTGCACCCATTCGTACATGCTGTTACGTGTCAGATGTGCTATACGTGCATGCCGTACGTGGGAGCTCAACAGTTCGAGACGCCAGCACCTTACATATTTCGCACCAGAGAATAACACGAAAAACATTGTTTATCAAGAGGTTTTTCAAATGAAAAGTCCAAACGCCATTCGTACATGCTGTTATAATAACTTTTTGTCATTTACACCATATACTGATTATTGTTCGCAGGGTTCTAATATGGTTGTGCTGTCATGTAAATGTCATACGTAACAGTTTTTTTCCATGCTTATTATCTTTATTAGACTGATTTATAATATTGATATTGTGTTCAATGTTATTGTCGATTATTACCGCAATGTTCCTATTGTGTCCGCATTATTAGGTAGTATGAATTAGTAGCCACGATTTTACCCAGCGCAGGCGGGTACCCGCAGCTAGTTTCTAATATTCTATGTACATCTCTCAGACATGCACATATGTGTTTGCATAAGATTATGCTATAAACGTGTCAAACATTCATGTGACATGAACGAGTTCAACAACTGTATTATACCAACCTGCCAACCTATTCACCATCTCACAGCACAAACAACTTTCTCGTTGAGAACAAAATACGAGTTGCACGTCTAAGCAAATAGTAATTGCCGCAATGTTGTTTACGGAAGGTTCCGCAGTTCATCCTCGATGCGTACATCGAGAGCAACGCAGGGGGCGCAGCTGTAACATCATCGTGACGCAGGCTCGCCGCATCAGCGCCATCACGGTGTGCGAGCAGCGTGGCGGACGAGGGCGCTCGCAGCACGTCGGCATCACGGCCGGCTAAGCGTGAGGTTTGACACGGCCTTCTCGCCGGGCGTACGGCGGAATCATGTTCCTGCACCGTTGTACGTGCGTTTGTTGCAGTCGAATATTGTATCATTTGTTGTAGGCGATGTATATGATGTGATGTAATACAACGTACATAGTAAGTCTATAGTAGTAGTCTTATGAGTAGTATGTATGTGGTGTGGCGGTGGCAGCAGCGGCAGTAGAAATGTAGTGGAAGTAGTTTTAGTGGTTTGTATTACTAGTAGTAAGTGGTAATGGTAGTGGTCGTATGTTTAGCGCTTAAAATTTTTTAAATCTTACAGGTAATATCAAGTGGTAAATAGTACTGAGCATGCTCAGCAGGTATACTAGCTACTACTAGTACTACTCTTGCTACTGCTACTGCTACTGCTACTAGTAATTTATAACTGTTTATTGCTGCTGCTAGTGCTGCTGTACTACTACTCACTACTACATGTTGTGATGTCACTTACACTTGCATTGCTCTGATTGGTCATTTCATCATACAGTCTACATGTAGCCAGCTTGGAACTGATGTGATTTTATTTGGGTGGTGAAGGCATGGTAGCCTGCTGAGACATCCTCTGCGGATATGGGACTGATCCAGGCTGCTGCAGTTTTATACCTTTCAAACCTGTGTTAACTGGGTCCTTTCTATATAATGGACATCTGTCTTTTAATGGACCTTTATGATACCCTTTGAAATGACCCTTACATTCAGGTTTGACCATCGACATGTTTTATGTTTGAACGTTGTTGTATCAATATATGACAATAGGTTGGAGGCAGTGCATGTGTGACAATGGCTTTTTTGGTATTGCACGCCTGTCGTGCATTACTCTTATGTCAGTAATGTCAAATATGATACATAGATGTGTAAAATGAAGGGGGTTAACAGTGTCT